TATATATATATATATATATATATATATATGTGTGTGTGTGTGTGTGTGTGTGTGTGTGTGTGTGTGTGTGTGTGTGTTGTGTGTGTGTGTGTGTGTGTGTATATTATATATATTTAATATATATATTCATATATATATTATATATATATATATTATATATATATATATATATATATTATATATATATATTTATATATGTATGTGTGTGTGTGAGTAAGTGAGAATGAGTGTGAGAGAGAGATAACAAATAATTCCCATTACATGATGTGTGCTTATTACTTTTTCACCTACCTTTCCAGGCTACCTTGATCCATCTAGTGGCAATAAAGATGTGGTTGCTGGAACAAAGCTGGAGCTTCCCTGTTGGCTGGCCAGAGCTCTCTGCTCATCGAGACGGCATATAGTGTCAGCCCAGTTGCCAAATACATTTAAGGAACGATATAGGTAGGTTAGATTATTACACTGATGTATGGAAATATTGTGTGTTGCATTTGTGACATACAGGTACCTGTGGTGAATGGATTGATTTGTATTCTGAATAAATCATTATCATATTTACGATAAAATTTATGATTTGTACTTGTATGTTAGAATATATATGACATACATAGCAGTCATCTTTTTGTTACAGCTCAAAGAAAAGATACTTATTTATAGAGACCCTCTACCTTTTTGATTTTTAAATTTTCCTGACAGACCTTTATTAAACTCATCCATTTATTTAGACCTTGACAAGATCTCAGATCTCAGTATTTTAGTAAATTGTCCCAAAACTTTTTGAATTATAGTAAAAAAAAAAGGGGGGGGGGAAATGTGAAAACAACTGTCTAAATCCCCCCCCCCCAAAAAAAAAAAAAAAAAAAAATACACAGGCATTCTGATCTGATTCTGGAATAAAATTACCTATTATCTAGTGCATTGTTGAAGCATATTTTTCAATTTCACTTTATTTTTTATTGATTTTTTTATTTTTTTCAATATTTGAAGTAGATGCCATTTAGAAAACCTAAAAAGGGTTTTTGTTTTATATATGTCACAGGGAAAGAAAGTGCTTTGACCATGCACAAGACATTTTATTCAAGTACAAAATGAGCCATAATACATTTATTTTGGACTAAATATGCATTTGCTACAGATTTTGTGTGTAAATATGTAGTGTTTCGAGGTAACAGCAGGTAATTTTTTTTCTTTTTTGTATGAACAAAAAAAGGTTTACGAATAATCTTCATATAAAATATTCCACTATGATATACCTGCATTCTGAAGAATTGTGGAAATACTAAGCATATAATATCTCAGCACCCTAATTATGCTTTGGTAGGGTCCCTCTAATTTTGGCCCATTTGAGATATATATTGTGTGTTGTGTGTGTGTGTGTGTGTTGTGTGTGTGTGTGTGGTGTGTTGTGTGTGTGTGTGTGGTTGTGTGTGTGTGTGTGTGTGTGTTTGTGTGTGTGATTTCCGCATACATTTTGAGAATACAATTTTTAGATACTTTTGTTTTTGTTAGACTACTGAATAGAATAAATCATCTGGAGAAAATTTTTACTTCAAGACTTTTTTTTTGTCACTTTTACAAGAACTTCAAGAAAAAAGCAAAAACTGCTCCAATTATCACTTAGATAATTCATTTATGTACAAAATGAGCCATAGTATGTCTATTCTTGACTAAAATTGTGCTCCTTTTCAGGAAAGTTCCATTTCAAGAAAACAACATTGAATTGCTTCTTCAAGTTCTAAATTTTTACTGTATGGATAACAAATGATAATTGAAATATCTCTATATGATATAATCACCTTTGATTTGCCTTTATTGTGTGCTATAATGGGGCTTTACAACATAAAATACTAGCCTAAAATATTGATACTCCATGGCAGTATAAACATAATATTGGATAATTGGTAATAAATATCTCTACATTTGCCTTTCTAGTACACTCTGTATAGATATAGACCCATCCAATAGGAGTTGTCTATGTGCAAATTCATTAAAAAAAATATCGGTTAGAGATAACTGATTGATTCTTTTTGCATGCTATAGAGTAAAGAATTGTGCTCTGTTATATATATAAATTCTAATCCCCATTGGGGGGGCACCCCCCAAAAAGTCGAAAAAAATCGTTTTTTTTTTTTTGGTATGTCTTCGGTACATCCCAACTATCACAGCTCTTTACAGAATATTCCCCCAAAAATACTTGTGTTAGATCAACTCTAGCCTATAGCCATGTAAAAGGCCGAATTTTGAAAATCCTTTTTTTTTGGCGGGGGACAGCCTTGACATAGAGAACTATTTTTTGGTCTTCTTTTTCAGCATTAAATATATTTATTTTGATTGCATTAAAAATTTAAAAATCGGCCTTTTACATGGC